GTGGGGCTGTGACAGTGTCCCACTGTGGGGCTGTGACAGTGTCCCACTGCTCCCCAAAGCCCTGTGGGGCTGTGACAGTGTCCCACTGCTCCCCAGAGCTCTGTGGGGCTGTGACAGTGTCCCTCTCCTCCCTGAAGCCCTGTGGGACTGTGACAATGTCCCACTGTGGGGCTGTGACAGTGTCCCACTGCTCCCCAGAGCCCTGTGGGGCTGTGACAGTGTCCCACTGCTCCCCAGAGCCCTGTGGGGCTGTGACAGTGTCCCTCTCCTCCCCAGAGCCCTGTGGGGCTGTGACAGTGTCCCACTGCTCCCCAGAGCCCTGTGGGGCTGTGACAGTGTCCCACTGCTCCCCAGAGCCCTGTGGGGCTGTGACAATGTCCCGTTTCCCCCCAGCTCCCTGAGCCAGTGGGTGCACGCGTGCGACGCGCTGGATCTGCCCATGCTGCAGCGGGAGGAGCTGGACGCCTTCATCGACCAGCTCTACAAGGACATCGAGAAGGGTGAGGCTCTGGGAGTGCAGGGACAGGGCAGGCAGCCTCAGGATAGGAATCTTTGTCCTCCATCCCCTCCCAGTGGGAGGGAAAGGCTCTTGGGAAATCACCCTGCAGCACCCAGGCCGTGCTGGCTGTGGGTGTTTGTGTTGATGGATATTCCTTCGTGCTTGTGTGTGGAAGAGCAGGAATGGACCGTGCAAACTCTAACCCCTCTCTCTGTGCTGCAGAGTCGGGAGAGTTCCTCAACTGCGAGGGATCAGGGCTCTACGTGCTGCAGAGCTGCTGTAAGTAACACAAGGACTGGGAGGAAAACAGTAGTGAGGAGGGACATGTCCCGTGCTAGGCTGGCTCACCTCTTCCTCTGGAGAAAAAGGATTGTGCTTGCCATCTGTGGGATGGGATAGGGTGGATGTGGTGGGTACTGCTCTCTGTTCCCTGGCGCTTTGCCCAGCTGTGGAATGGCCAGTCCTGCCTTGGATGCACTCAGATGTGATGTGGTTCCAGGAGCCACTTAGGCATTTAGCAGAGATTGTATTGCCCCTAGGTAACCACAGCTGCATCCCCAATGCTGAGACATCCTTCCCAGAAAACAACTTCCTCCTGCATCTCACTGCTCTGGAGGACATCGAAGCAGGAGAGGTGAGCCAGCAGGGCCTGGGTGCACCTGAGGTTACATCACACCTTGGCATCATCCCTGTGTCCCCTACATCCTCCATGGACCCCAGCCCCAAAACCTTCTGAGTCCTGCATCATGGCAGAGGAATTCAATCCCCATCCCATGTAGGGGCTGCCAGACCCCCTGCTTCTTCCTGATTATGAGAGGGACTGGGAGAAATCCTGCTGCTTTGGGATCATGGGGAGTGATTCTGAGCCCATCCCATTTCTATTTGCTGCCAGGAAATCTGCATCAGTTACTTAGATTGCTGTCAGAGGGAGCGCAGCAGACACAGCCGCAACAAGATACTCAGGTAGGGGCTGCCTGGGGGGCCCTCAGACCCCTTGACACCCCAACAGTCCATAGGGCAGCATCCCCACCCCGGGGCTGGGTGTGCCTTGGGTTGTGGCTGTGCACGGGCTGCTGAGAGCTTCAGTGGGCTCGTGGCAGGGGGTGAGTGCAGCACGTGCTGCTCCTTGGAATGTGTTGTAGCCTTGGGGACAAAGGATTTGGGTTCCCCGCCCCTCTCTGTGGGTTTACACCTGCAGACCCTTCCTTTTCCTTGTCTGTCCCTCAAGGGTAGAGGTTCCTGCTGGGGGTCCCTGTCCCATCACCCCTGTGGGGCTGAGGAATCCCCCTCCCCACCTGGGGTACCGTAACGCTGCCTGAGCCAGCAGGATGGGACCCCGGACTCCTGCGGGTGTGACACGTTTAGCCCCTTCCTGGCTGTTCTCTTCCCAAACCCTGCTTGGCAGCAGTGTGGGGTGGTACCCGTCTCCACAGCATCCCTCTGTCTCCTGCCTGCCCACCTGCCAGGGAGAACTACTTGTTTACCTGCTCGTGTCCCAAGTGCCTCGCGCAAGCCGACGACGCCGACGTGACGTCGGACGAAGAGGAGGAGGGCGAAGGAGAGACAGACGATGCAGAGCTGGAGGATGAGATGACTGATGTGTGATCCTGGCCCCGGGCGAGAGGAGAGGGAAGGGATGGGAAGGGCCTGGAGGTTCCTCCAAGAGGCAGCAGCTTTAATTTAGAACAGGGTTGTGTTGTGGGGTCGGGGTTGTGCAGAGGTGCCGGAGCGGGGCAGCCGGGAGCCGGAGGCAGGCCCTGCTCCTACCTGTCCGTGGTGTCCCTGTGCGTGTGTGTGTGTGTCAGGCTGTCCCTGTCCTCCCCGTGAGGACAAGCTGTGAGCCAGTGGCCCTCCAGCGCATCCCAGTTCCCAGTAGGGCAGGCTGGTGGAGAGTGGGATCCAGCCAGCCCCTGGGACACCATGCTGGTCACCTGTGAGGTCACTCCCTGTGTCTGTGCAGGCTGTGGATGTGGAGGAGCTTGTCCTTCCCACCCGGAACATGTGTGTGTGTGTGTGTGTGTGTGTGTCCGTGTGTCTGTGCACGAGGGTACTATTTAATGTCTATATTAGCACTATCTACACACTATGGAGCTGGGGCCCTCATGTATCCTGCATTCCATGCCTTGGCCAGCAGTGAGGGGCAGGCGGATGGATCTTGCAGGGGATGCCTTGGAGAGTGGCCCAGAGCTCAGCAGGGAGAGCAGAGCTGACCCTGCAGACACCTTCCCAGCTCGGCCCATCCTTCCCATGACACAGAGCCCTGGGCAGGACCGTGTGGGGATGGAGAATGGCCGGGAGCTGACATGGGCTGGGGTGTCATGCCAAACCCAGAAGACATTTTGGGTTTTGTAGGGACGAGGCTGTGCCTGGAGATGCAGCATGTGCTGGGTGCCTCCCTGCACCCAGTGCTCCCACATGGAGATGTGCCAGTGCAGAGTGGCCCCACTGGATGTCCCCTTGTCACCCATGCCATGCTGCCACCCTCAAGGCCACGCTGTGCTGTGCTGTCCCTGTGTGCAGACCATGTGGCTGGAGGGACAACAGCTCCAAGTGACGGGCAGCAGGTCAGGGATGCACCTGGGGTTATTTCCTTCCTCCGTGGGTTTTAGGGAGCTGCTTCCTGCTGCCGTGTCCATGGCAGCAGGACTGTGGGACCGAGGGTGGCACACCTGTGGCACTGCCATCACCATCAGCCCTGCCTCCCGCTGCTTGTCCCCAGCCGTCCCCTTCAGTGTTCCTAATAAACCGAGACTGGTGACAGCTGGGGACCCGTGCTTTGTATTGCTGGTGCTGAGTGCAGACAGGGCTGTGACCCAGGGGCTGCACCTGTGGGGACACAGGGCTGGGGCTGAGCGAACGGACACCTGTGCAAGTGTGGGCTCTGGATTTGTGACCAGCCCACCTTGGGGACAGCTGCTGGAGGCTGCGCTGTCCCATGAAGCTCTGAGCCCTGCCCCAGCTGCAGGAGGCACTTGGAGAATTATACTAGGAAAAAAATTGAGGATGAGATTTATCCCTTCATCTGCTGAGAAATAAAAGAGAAACTTCCCTTTCTCTAAAACTTACTCAGACTTCATTAGCTCAGACAAAAATATACAGACATTGGGTGAGCCCTGCTGGTACAGACCAAGTGTGTATCGCTCTTCCCCCATCCCTGCCAGTCCTCATCCCTCCAAATCAGCAGCACAAGGTCAAATGTTTCCTGGGAAGTGCTGGCCTGCTCTGGGCCCTCACCTCCCTCCCACAGTCACAGGTTGGTGCCAGGCTCAAGGTTCCCCCTGGCACTGGTGCTTGGCCACACCGCGGTGCCAGCAGAAAGATCTGTCGCCGTATCCAGCGGGATCTCTGGAGCATGTTGGGATCCTTTCCTCAGACCCGGTCCTAAGGTCCTGGGATGCACCAGGAAGTCCTTGAGCAGCCTTCTGCTGCTACCAGAAGGTCCAGGGGGGCTGCATCATCTCGTAGGTGGGAATGCTGGTGACGTTGACAGGAATGGAGATGACGGCCCAGGGGAGCCCGTGCTGCTCCAGGGAGCGCCTGATCATGTACCTGGGGATGGAGGTGACAGGGTTGGAGAGCGGAGCCACACCGAGCCCAGAGCACAGCCCAGCTCCACGTGCCCCTTGACTGCCACTGAATCCACGTGGATGTGGCTGCCACAGCCTGGCAGGGCCACGCCGAGCAGCGGGCCCTCCCTGCCGAGAGGGACGAGGCTGTCACCGCTGCCAGGAACGTCCCACCCTGGGAAGCAGCCCGGGCACGTACCCGTCCCTGCCCAGCAGGAAGAGCGCGGGGATGTCGGCCGTGCGCCGGGAGCTGTCCTGGATCATCTCGATGTAGAAGCTGTCGTTGTCGTAGGCGTTGTCGGCGATGATGACGGCGCGCCCGCCGTGCTCCTGGATCACGCGGGTCTTGGACAGGAAGGAGCAGCCCCTGCCCCACAGAGGGACCACGCCGTCACCCACCTGGGGTGGCCGCAGCGAGCTCCAAAGCTTGCTCCAAAGCCTGCACCTGCCAGAGCTGGCCTGCGCACACCCAAACTAGGGATTGTCTCCCTGATTCCACACCTCCTCCAAACCCCGCTCCTCCGAGTCTGTATTTCAGCTACAAGCCACCCACATTCCTAAAAAAAAATTAAGTAAAATCCTGGAATGGTTTGGGTTGGAAGAGACATTAAAGCCCATCCAGTCCCACCCCCTGCCACGGCAGGGACACCTCTCACTGTCCCAGGCTGCTCCAAGCCCCAATGTCTAGTCTGGCCATGGACACCACCAGGGATATGAGGCATCCAGAATTTCTTTGGGCAACCTGTACCAGGGCCTCACCACTCACAGAGAAGAGTTCTTTGCAACTGTCTAATCTAAACCTATTCTCAATCTGAACTCGGGCAGCATTTTTTCTACCTTGCCACAGGCTAAAAAATACAAGATGCAATTCTCCAGGGTAGGAACAGCCTTGCATTTTCCCAGTTTATCTATGTGGGGAAAGCCCCAGGAAGATCTGGAAGTGATGGGGAGATGTGGCCAGGGCTCCCCTCCTGCCCAGCAGGGTCCCCCAGCAGCTGCCACCATGCCAGACCTACCCCCTCTCCACCAAGGCGATCTGGTCCTGGATGAAGACCCCATTGTTCAGCTCTCCGCAGGCCTCCGGAGGATCCGCGGGGACCAGGTGGATCTGGTCATACCTTGTGTTCTCCGAGGAGACAGGCAGGGGTGAGCCGGGGGGACAGAGCTGCTCCCCCTCCCACGCCCTGCTCATCCCTGTGGGGGCTGCTCTGGGGGAGATTTTGGGTTCCCAGGCTCAGGGACGCTCAGAGCCAGCCCTGGTGCCAGTCCCTGACTCTGGCATCCTGCTGAGGCCAGGGATGCTCGTGGAAGAGCAGTGAGCTCCATTTTAATCAAAACCCCAAAGCACTGAGTCCCAGCGAGGAGCAATATTGGCATGGAGGGACCCAAAGTGGCAAATTCAGTTTTTAATACTTACAAACACGCCACCAAAATCCTTGGCTGGGGTGGCAGTGAAGATGTAGCGGATGTCTCCAGGGCTCAGCACTTGGAAGTACAAATATTCATGGATGCGTAATCCTGGGGGTGAAAAGACAGAGCTGAGGCAAGGGAAACTTAAAGGCAAAATCCCTGAAAAAAGGGAGAAGTCCGTTATCACTCCTGAACCACCGGGGAGAGAACACGCCCTCCAGCAATGCCAAATCCTGGCTGGGCCCAGGTCCCAAAATTCCCCAAAGGTTTTGGGGTGTTCCAAGGGCAGATGTGGCAGTTCCCAGGGACTGACAGGGGATGGGGATGGGAAAAGCACCGGGACTGGGTGCTCAAGGGGAAGGGAAAATGCTGCTGGATCATGGAGGGGAGAGAGGTGATAGGCACCCAGACCGAGGGGAACAGAGGGGAAACCCACCAGGATCACAAATGGGAGGGAAAACGCACTTGGATTAGGATGCAGCAGGAAATGCAATGGAGCTGGGGCGCAGTAATGGGAAAAGCACCTGGATCACAGGGAAATCCGAGGGGCTCAGACCCCACCGAGAGGAAGTGCCGCAAGATTGGGGTGCTGGGTAGGGAAACTGGGTCGAGGTGCACCCAGGGAATTGCAGAAGGAGAAACGCAGGAGAAATGCACCCGGATCGGGATGTAGGAGGAGAAACGCAATTAGGTGGGAGCGCACCGAGGGGAAATGAATGCCCCGTATGGGTACGGGAGATGAACGGCAACGGGACCGGAGTGTCGGGAGGGGAAATACACCGGGACAGAGACACGGGAGGGGAACGGCAAGGGGCTGGGAGGGGAAATACACCGGGACAGAGACACGGGAGGGGAACCGCAGCGGGGCCGGGGTGCCGCGAGGGGAAATACACCGGGATGGCGGGGCGCCGGGCGGGGAGGCGGCCGGTCCGGGATGCCCGGGCTGTGTGCGCGGTGCGGGCGCGGGGCCCGGGTGGTCGCGGCCCGGGTTGTGGTCGCTGTCCCCGCTCCGTGCCTCCCTCCGTCCCTCACTCACCGCGGGCCGGGCAGCAGCAGACGCAGAGCCAGAGCCAGAGCCAGAGCAGCATGGCTGCGCCCCGCCCCGCCCACCGGGCCGCCCCGCGCTCCCCATTGGTGCATGGTCTTACCGCGCTCCTTCCTATTGGTCTGCGCCGCCATCAATCACGCGCGAGCCGGCGCGGGCAGCTCGCTGTCACCGCGGCGTTCGCTGCCAAATAGTGATCTATTCAATTTCCCACGCTGCGCGCCCTCTTCCCTCCCTGCCAAATAGTGCTCCTACCCGGCCCGCCCCCGGGAAGGTTCTGGGCGGGCGCGGGGCATTGTGGGGCCGGGAGCGAGCAGCCGCCGCGATGATGGTGAGTGGGCCCCGCGCCATCCGCCGCCATCCGCCGCCATCCCCGCGTCCTGCCGCGCTGCCCGGCCCGCGGGGCCCCCGCCGGCCCCCAGCGAGCGGCTGCGGCGGGCCGGGCCGGGCCGGGCCGGGCCGGGCCGGGCCGGGCCGGGCCGGGCCGGCGGGGATGGAGCGCGCAGGCCCGGCGGAGCCGCGCCCGCCGGAGCCGGGCTGCGCCGGCCGCGGGCCCTGGCAGCGGCAGCCCCCGGCCCGGCCCGGCCCGGCCCCGCGGGGATGCGGGAGGTGCATGTGTCTCCGGGCTGATTGCCCCGGGGAGGTGGATGTGTCTCCGGGCTGATTGCCCCGGGGATAACCGGTTCCCTTTCCCTTGGGATCTCCGCGCTGTGGGTGTGGAGGGAGGCTGTACGTTCTCTTCCACAGAATAGTCACGGTGGAGATCGCTCAGTTCAACCCCTGCCCATGCAGGGTCACCTGGAGCAGGTGACACAGGAGCGTGCCCAGGTGGCTTTGGGATGTCTCCAGACCCTCCCTGTGCAGCTGTGCCAGGGCTCTGTCACACTCCATGGAAAGTTCTTCTTCATGTTGAGGTGGAACTGCTTGTGTTTTAATTTATGTGCTGTTGCTGGGCATCACCAAAAACAGGCTGGCACCAACGTGTTGGCACTGCCTCGGATAGATTTGTGTGGATTGATGGGATCCCTCTCAGCCTTCCCTTCTCCAGCCTAAGCAGGCCCAGCTCCTCAGAGGAGAGATGCTCCAGACCCCGGGGATGTTTTTTGTGCCCATCAACCTCTGCAGTATCTCCTTGTGCTTGTGACTCCTCAGTGCAACAAGAACAGTTTAGTTCTGCTGTGTGCCTGCTGAGCTGGTTCAGCACTTAGTTAGTTAGTTCAGTTTAGTTCTGCCTCTGAACTGGCTGTTCCGAGCCAGTGCATCCCAAATTTGGGCAGTGTTTGGACTTTGCCCGAGCTCAGCCTTTGAGATGATTGAATGGTTTGGGTTGGAAGGGGCCTTAAGACCCACCCAGTGCCACCCCTGTCATGGCAGGGACACCTCCCACTGCCCCAGGCTGCTCCAACCCCAGTGTCCAGCCTGGCCTGAGACACTGCCAGGGATCCAGGGGCAGCCCCAGCTGCTCTGGTGCTTTGGCCACTCAGACTTGTTTGGTTCCTCACTTCTCTGTAATTCCTGCAAGTTCTGTCTCCTCCAGGCCAGCATCAGATCAGCGCCTTGGTGGGCCCCGCCGCCCCAAAAACCCGTTATTTTTGGGACGATTCCTGTGTGGTCCCCGAGCCTGTGGCGGAGCAGTTGTGTGAATTCCCAGCGGGATGGGTGGTGTGGAGCAGGGGAATTGCAGCGAGGCCGTGTTTTGGGTCCTGCTCCTGCACACGGGTGCCTTTTGGGCCGGCAGGAGTTTGTTCTGGGCTGGGCTAACGGCCATGTCGTGCTCCTCCCTGCAGCCAACGCCGGTTATCCTGCTGAAGGAGGGCACGGACACCTCGCAGGGCATCCCGCAGCTGGTCAGCAACATCAACGCGTGCCAGGTGATCGCCGAGGCCGTGCGCACCACGCTGGGCCCGCGCGGCATGGACAAGCTCATCGTGGACGATCGGGGTGGGTGCGGGCCTTGGCCCTGCGCGGGTTAAAGCGGCTTTGTGTCTGCTCAGTGCCAGCAGCCTCACCCTGCCAGGCTCAGCTCTGCCTCGGTGGCCCCTTACAAAGCAGGGCTTTGCCTGCCTGACAGCTGCCAGTCCAGCCTGAGGATTCCTGATGGCTCCCCAGGAGCTCCTGAGGAGATGCAGAGCCAGGGGGGTTGTGCTGCCTTGGGAAGGCTGGCCTAGAACAGGGGCTGGACAGAGCTGAAGATTAAAGCAAGGATTTATTCAAGGATCTCCTCATGGATCCACCTTGGGCTGCACCAGAGCCCAGCCAGGGCTGCACCCAAATGACCCAAAATGGTCCCAAAATGCACGAGCGCTCCCGGGGCTCTCCCTGGGATCAGTTCTGCTGCATTGGCACCTTGGAGTTCATTGTCCCATTCCAGCTCCAGCCCCTCAGTCCCACCCTGCTGGTTTTTCTCTCTCCAGCCCACGGTGTTTGTGCTCCTGGGCTGAGATTTGGATCATTGTCCTTGGTGCTCAGCTGGAGCAGGAATTGTTTTGTCCCTGCTTTCTGATGAGAGCTCATCAGTCCCTAAAATAAAACCCAGACCTGCACACTAAAGCAGCACAGAACCTGAAAAATAGAAAAGCAAAACCTGAGGCATCAGTTGGATGCATCCAGTGTCAGTCTGTGCCAGACAGGAGAAGCAGAGAGGCTTGAACCTCTCTTCAGGTATTTTTGGTCATCTCTATTTTTAAATGAGGCTCATGATACCTGTGGAGTAACTCAGCAGTTGTGGCTGAGTGTGAGGTCAGTGGATGTTCCTGGGCTGATTTTTAATCTATTTTTTGAAGTGTGATTTAGAGATGAACTTTGTGGTCACTTTGAAAAGACTGGTATGAAGTCACCATAATAATAAATAATAATAATTATTTACTACTTTTGTTACTGAAGGATGGAGTGAAAAGGCTTAGTATTGTCTTTAAGTAGCTTTTCCAAGTAGGAACTGTAATAAATCCTTGTTCAAAAGGATAATTCAATTTAAATTTCTCTTATGACAACTAATATGATTTCTAGACTCTTTCTTCATGGGAGTCTCAGACTAGAATATGGTTTTATCTGTCTAGGGAGGCCTTTGAGAAGGGGGAAAATGAATTCCAAACCTTTGTTGGTGTGGAAAGTTGTTCTGCTCTCAGACTGACTTCACTGAACCTGCTCCACAAATGGGCTGACAGGAGTGAGTTCTGGTGGAGCAGAGGATGCTGCTGAGATTGCTGAGAGCCCCCAGAGACAGGGCTTTACCCCTGCCAGTGCACAGCTGCCTTTAACTCCCTTTTCTGCACGAACCCCAGGCAAAGCCACCATCTCCAACGACGGTGCCACCATCCTGAAGCTGCTGGACGTCGTCCACCCGGCCGCCAAGACCTTGGTGGACATCGCCAAATCCCAGGATGCTGAGGTGGGAGGGCAGCCTGGTGGGCCTGGGGTGGCACATGGGGCAGCTGAGTACCAGTGCTGCCCTGGGCTTGGTGTTACCTGCTGGGAGTCACTCATGGAGTGCTGGGCTTTATCCTGCCTGCTCTGCAGCCAGGCTGGCAGAGCTGGGAACGTTCCTCTGGGGAAGGGAAGGCTCCAGACACAGCTCAGAGCCCCTGGCAGGGCCTGGAGGGGCTCCAGGAGAGCTGGAGAGGGACTGGGGACAAGGGACAGAGGGACAGGAGCCAGGGAATGGCTCCCACTGCCAGAGGGCAAGGATGGATGGGATATTGGAAGGAATTCCTGGCTGGGAGGGTGGGGAGGGGCTGGGCTGGAATTCCCAGATTTGCTGGGGCTGCCCCTGGATCCCTGGAGGTGTCCAAGGTCAGGCTGGATGGGACTTGGAACAACCTGGGATGGCAGAATGTGTCCCTGCCCATGGCAGAGGGTGGCACTGGATGGGCTTTGAGGTCCCTTCCCACCCAGACCGCTCCGAATCACTGAGGAATTCAGCCACAAATCTGAGAGCAGAGACAATCCTGAGCTCTGCTTTCCCTGGAAGCTCTGGAGTGGTTTTGCAGCTGCTCTCGGGTGGTGTCTGCAGTGGGGGTGGCACAGCCTGGGGGTGGCACGGTGTCCCCTGTCCTGCAGGTGGGCGATGGCACCACGTCGGTGACGCTGCTGGCAGCCGAGTTCCTGAAGCAGGTGAAGCCCTACGTGGAGGAGGGGCTGCATCCCCAGATCATCATCCGTGCCTTCCGCACGGCCACGCAGCTGGTGAGGACACGGGACACGGGACACGGGCCAGCCACAGGCACAGGGACACACTGCCAGGGACAGCCCTGGCGAGTGCCAGCAGCATCTCCTGCTGCCTCCCTGCCAGCAGCACTGCCTCTCCCGTGCCAGGCTGCTGTACCCACCTGTACCTCTGGAGTGCTGTCACCTCCTTTGGGATTTTTCCAAGGAGGAAGGAATAAATGGGAAAACTCATTTCCCATTCTCTGCTTCTCCTGTTCTCTGCTGCTTCTTAGTAACCTGTGTGTCTCCTGGAGCCTGTTGATCCCAGTAAGCTGATTTTTGGAGGTTCACTCCTCAGTAGCCCTTTGATTCCCAGGGTCTCTGCTGAAATCAGGAACAGCAGAGCAGCTCTGAGCCTCCTCCCACTCCCCATGTATTGGTGTATTCCCTGGAATCACTGCTCTGGCAGGGGTGGAATAACTTAAACACTTGAAACTTCAGTGACGTTGAAGCAGAGAACAAAAGATAAAATACAAAGAGAGAGGCTGGAGGTCTCAGCAGCTCAGCATAAATCATTAATCCAGCTGTTCCTTTTTGCCAGGCTGTGAACAAGATCAAAGACATCGCTGTCTCCGTGAAGAAGGAGGATAAAGAGTAAGTTTCCCTTGGAGGTGACCTGGTTCTGTTCTGGGCTCCAGCTGACTGCTGTGAGGGTGCTGCTGAATCCTGTGGCTCTGGCTGACTCTCCAGCAGCTGCATCACCTGGAGCTGCAGCCCCACACCGGGGTTGTTCCCAGTTTCCCTGGAATTTCCTGCTCCTCCGGGGCAGTGCTGTGCTCCCACCTGGCTGCAGGGATGGTGTAGGGCAGTGTGTCCCAGTGCTCACTGAGGAACCTGGGCTCCAAAATAAGTGGCCTGATTTCCTTTTTGCAGCAGTGGAGTCTTGGAGCTCTTGCTGCAGTCAGTGGCAATGTTAAACCTCAGCAGTTCCCTGAGGATCAGATCCCCTTTTAGCTGTAACACACCAAGGTAGATAGCTCGTAGCAGTGATCCCTTCAGCTGAGCTGACAATACTGGAGTTCCTTTTCTCCCTGGATTTTCAGCTCTTGACCTTAGTGATACCTGCAGTTAATTAGAAATATTTCAACTTCATAAGCATCCTGAATAAACCAAAATGGGTTGTCCAAACCAAATTCCAAAAAAAATGCTGGGAAAAAAACCAGATGTGGTCCTGTGATGGGAAATAGAGTGGTTCCCATGGGAGACAGCCTGGCAGCTGGATCCACATCTCCCTGCGTCACCCACTGCTGCACATACACCGCCTGAGTTAGTACTGCAGGCAATGTGCTGCCTTCAGGGGGGGTTCAGAAACATCTCCCTGCCTTGGCATGAAGGAAGCACTTGCTCTTGTCTGATTTTAGGTGCATAAAAGTCAGTCAGCCTTGTCAGTTAGCTCAAGCTCCAAAAAGGAGACTGAGATTCGTCAGTCTGGGATTTGTGCCTTGTTCTTCCTGTTGTCAGGAGGGGCTGATCTTTGCCTCTGTCAGAGAGGATTTTGGCCCCTCATGAGGGGCTGGAGTGTGTCCAGGGCAGGGAAGGGAATGGGAAGGGCCTGGAGAATTCCTGAGAGATCTGGGAAGGAGCTGGAGAGTTCCTGAGGAGCTGGGAAGGGGCTGGAGAGTTCCTGAGGAGCTGGGAAGGGGCTGGAGAGTTCCTGAGGAGCTGAGGGGGCTCAGCCTGGAGCAAAGGAGGCTCAGGGGGACCTTGTGGCTCTCACAGCTCCTGCCAGGAGGGGACAGCCGGGGGGATTTGGGATCTGTTCCCAGGAACAGGGACAGGAGAAGATGGAACGGCCTCAGGGGAGCCTCGGGGTGGGCACTGGGGAAATTCCTTCCTGGAAAGGCCTTGGAAGTGCCCAGGGTAGGGGTGTCATCACTATTACTGGCAGGATTTCAGGGCCCTGTGGATGTGGCCCTTGGGGACATGGGCAGTGGTGGCCTTGGCTGTGCTGGACTGAATGATCTTTAAGTTGTTTTCCACCCTAAACCTGTGATTAACAAAGCCACATGGTGTTTGGGGCTTGTGAAAAGGTCTGGCAGGTGACCAAACCTTTGTTTTTCTTTTCCTTCCCTTTCTGCAGTGAGCAGAGGAGTCTCCTGGAAAAGTGTGCAGCCACAGCCCTGAGCTCCAAGCTCATCTCCCAGAGCAAGGAGTTTTTCTCCAAGATGGTTGTCGATGCTGTGATGATGTTGGATGACTTGTTGCAGCTCAAGATGATCGGGATAAAGAAGGTGCAAGGAGGAGCTTTGGAAGTAAGTGTTGGAGCCTTCCTGAAGGGCTGGGGGACAGGGGTCTCAGCTCTGGTGGTGCCTTGGCTCTGGCAGAAGTGCAGTTTGGCTTGACAGTGCCTGTTGGGGAATTCCCAAAGTGGGACAAAGCTGTTGGTATGAGGAGGAAGCTCGGCAGGTAGGGCTGGGTTTCGTTCTTTCTGGTTTTTGAGCTAAATACGTTTTTCACCTCACTGCAGCAAAAGTAGTTACTGATAGAATTCCATTTATCTCTCTGCAAATAATTAATGGTTTTTTTGTGGGAAGTCTTTGTTATTCTGGATCCAGAAGTCCTGGTTGCATGTAGGATTACTGGGGAGAATGCAAGGCAAACCTCCTGAAGCTGATTTAGTGGTGGGCAGGGCAGGTGGGACATGTGGTTTATGCCTCAGTGCTGGAGAACCTGTTGTGTCTGGGACTGGATATCTGGGAGGGGATTGATCCTGGGACAGCCCCTGTGGAGAAAGAGAGATTCAGATCTTGATTTCTTCACCCAGGAAACCAAGGAGCTCATGCCAGTGAATGGTATTGGACAGGGATGTCCAGCTGCAGAAAATCCAGGAGGTGGTGATGGAGCTTGGAAAGGCAAACCAGAGCAAAAGCCAGCCTCCAGTGGGGCTGTGGATGAGAAATACCCAACAGTTCAAAGGGGAGGAATGGGAAAGAGATCAGGGAGAGAACTGCTTATTCCTTGATCTGAAGGTTGTGTGAGGAGTTCTTGGCTGCAGAGTTTTGAGGAGTAGAGAGGAAGCTGCTCTTGTGAGCTGAAAGAAATCCTTGCTGCTTATTTCCTCTGAAAGTGGGTTAATCAGAGGAGACAGTGCTGGGAAGGCTTTGCAAATGAGGCCTCTGGAAGCAGGGGGTGTCCTGTGGGAGTTGTTATTAACCCTGTGCAGAAAGCTTTGGGGGCTGAGCCTGAGGCAAATCCCTGTGTTCCAGGACTCACAGCTGGTGGCTGGAGTTGCCTTCAAGAAAACCTTCTCCTATGCTGGGTTTGAGATGCAGCCCAAGAAGTACCAGTCCCCCAAAATCGCCCTGCTCAACGTGGAGCTGGAGCTGAAAGCTGAGAAGGACAACGCCGAGATCAGAGTCAACACGGTGGAGGTGAGAGCCACGGGGAGCCTGGCCTGCTGCCTCATCCCTGTGCCCCCTGGGGCTGCTCATCCCCTGGGGAAGGACGAGGTGGGAGGGCACAGAGCTGCTCCAGGGATGGAGCCAGGCTGGCAGAGCTGGGAATGTTCCCCTGGCGAAGGGAAAATTCCAGGGAATGCTCAGAGTCCCTGAAGGGGCTCCAGGAGAGTTGGAGAGGGACTGGGGACAAGGGACAGAGGGACAGGAGCCAGGGAATGGCTCCCACTGGGAAAGGGGAGCTTGGGCTGGGATCTTGGCAAGGAATTCCTGGCTGGGAGGGTGGGGAGGGGCTGGGCTGAAATTCCCAGATTGGCTGTGGCTGCCCCATCTCTGGGAGTGTCCAAGCTGAGTTTAGATAGGGCTGGGAGCAGCCTGAGGTAGTGGAGGGTGTCCCTGCCATGGCAAGGGTGACCTTTAAAAGGTCCCTTCCCACCCAAACCATTCCATGATAAATGAGTTTGCCTCCTGCCCACCCTTCCCCTTTGGAAACGACTGGTGGGCTGTGCTGCCCTGTGGGAAGGAGGCTCCAGCAGCCTGGGAAGCACAGCAGGGTCAAGACACGTTTGTGAGCTGTCACTGTGCCCCAGCTGTGCTGAGCCTCCAGCTCTGTTGCCTGCCTTAGCCTCACAAGTGGCCTTGCAGGGACAGCTCACCCAGCAGAGCCTGGAGGAGCTCCTGGCCTTGGAGCACCATCTGGGCAGTGCCATGGGGCAGGGCCCTGCTGCCTGCAGTGCTGGGAGCGGCGCTGGGCCAGGGCTGCTCCTGGGCACCCCTGGCACAGGAACACCGGTGCCCTGTCCTCCTGCCAGGATTACCAGGCCATCGTGGACGCAGAGTGGAACATCCTGTATGACAAACTGGACAAGATCCACAAGTCAGGAGCCAAGGTGGTCCTGTCCAAGCTCCCCATTGGGGACGTGGCCACGCAGTACTTCGCTGACAGGGACATGTTCTGTGCCGGCCGCGTCCCGGACGAGGATCTCAAGAGGACCATGATGGTGAGCTCCCCTGCCCTGGGGGAAAGCCTTTGGGCTCAGTTCTGACACCCCAGGCTGGGCATTCCCAAGCAGCTGCTCGCTGATCCCACTGCTCCTCACAAGGGTTTCAAAGGACAAGGCTGTTCTGTGGTGGGGTGAGCAGTCACACCCTGACAGCCTGGTGGTACATGTAAAGGTCTGATCAGTGCATCAGTAGAGGTTTATTTTCCTGAGTTCTCCCCTGTTCCATCATGAGTGTTTTTTTTCCCGAGCTTTTTTTGTGTATCTCCTGGGCTCTGGAGCCTGAGTCAGCACCTTGAAGCTGCACAGACTTATTTTGCTGTCAGGGGTTGGCCTGGGTCCATGAGAGGGGAGGGAGGGAGGGAGAAGGGTTTTCCTGAATCTGCAGGATGGGTTTGCACCAGCTCAGCAGCTGGGCTGTCCCTGAGGAGTGCAGCCTGCGGGGAGGGAGGCTGGTGTGGGCTGGCAGCAGTGTAATGCTGTGTTTGTCCCCATTCCTGCAGGCCTGTGGGGGATCCATCCAGACCAGTGTCAATGCCCTGTCGGATGATGTGCTGGGCCGCTGTGAGCTCTTTGAGGAGACTCAGATCGGGGGAGAGAGGTAAAAACACCAGCTGCAGACCGGGGGTGCTGTGCAAGCCCTCTCCTAGCAGGTGGAAAAGCTGGGCTCAAAGCATTAGGTCAACATCTCTCAAGCTGTTGAGATGAAAACAAGGTTGTTACAAAATGTATATTTTATTGTAGCCAGAAGCTGCTTTTTGAGGCTGGGGGAGTGGGCAGGAGCAAGATTTCATTGAGTTTTTACACCTCTTGTAAAAACTTTTAAAAGTACATGTTTATTCTGCAGCGCCTTGTAAAAAGCACAGTGGTACTGTGTAATGGAATTTGTAATGGAAACCCCCCCCACATTTTGGGGTTGATTGTGGCACTTCTGTGATGTCCCAGCTTGACATTTCCCTGTCAGTGCAGGAGAAGCTGGGGACAGTACACTGGGGTTCCAGTTGCTGGAGGAGCAGTCTTGTTTGGGGCTGGCTGCTGCCAGGTGCAGACTCTGTGATCCCTGCAGCAGGAAGGAACAGATTTCCCTGCGTTATCTGCAACGTCACCCGTGTGTTCCTGGCTCAGGACCCGCTGGGGCTGCAGGGCTGCCTCTGTGCCCACCCTGCCTGCCCAGCAGCAGCTCCTGCATGCCCACACCCTCCCTGTGGCAGGTACAACTTCTTCACGGGCTGCCCCAAGGCCAAGACGTGCACCATCATTCTGCGCGGCGGCGCCGAGCAGTTCATGGAGGAGACGGAGCGCTCCCTGCACGACGCCATCATGATCGTCAGGAGGGCCATCAAGGTGAGCCCGCCACCTGCCCTGTCCTGCCAGGGCTGCTGGAGCCTCCTCACACACCAGGCCTTGCCTCGGGCTCTGTGGAGAGTGAGCACAGCTCATGGATTCCCTCAAGTGCAGCTCCTTGGCCGGCTCAGTGTGCCTTTGGCAGCGTTTGCAGCTCATCTCCAGGCACGCCTGGGTTCTGCCTGCACTTCTGTGCAGCTGCACCTCCTGCTTGCTCCATCCTCCACCCTAAAGGGAACAGTCTCCTGGCTGTGCTGGAGACTTAAGGAGATGGAACAGCAGATTGATGGCCATGTGTCTCCTCTCCATGCCCATAGAGCCCCTCTCATGGTGCCCAGTCTGAGGACATGACAGTCCCCTGGCTCTGAGGGCAGGCTGGGGCACCAGGAGAAGTCCAGGGGCACTCTGGATGTGTCTTTGATCCTGGGTGATGCTGCCAAACTCTGGGTGTTTCTGGGTTACAAAAACATGTCAGTGTAGGAAGGGCTTCTGGGTAAAAGCAGCTCTGGGGCTGCATGTCCTGAGGGGCTGGGGAGAAGTACATCAGGAATTGTGGAGCTGTTGCTTTTAGAAAGAACATCCTCATCTGTCTCCTGGAAAAGCGGCAGAACTGAGCTGCAAGGTGCTGCTGCCATTATCTTTAGTTTTGGATGCTTTGTGGCAGTGAGGAAGTTTCCCTAGCCCCAGCTGGCTGTGAGCTGCCATCCCTCCCTTTGGGTGTAGTGTCCCCAAACCCCCTTTATCCTCTGCACAGCTGGGCTGAGCTACTGGAGCTGCTGCTGGAGGTTCTTGGCACGTCCCTGCCTCTGCTGTCAGGCAGTCCCAGGCACAGCAGCATGAGGGACGTGGGTTGCTATGGGCTGCCATGCCCAGCCAGGCCCGTGGGTTGCCATGGATTGCCATGGGCTGCCATGGGCTGCCATGGCCAGCCAGGCCCGTGGGTTGCTGTAGATTGCCATGGGCTGCTGTGGGTTGCCATGGATTGCCATGGGTTGCCACGGGCTGCCATGGCCAGCCAGGCCCGTGGGTTGCCACGGGCTGCCATGGCCAGCCAGGCCCGTGGGTTGCCATGGATTGCCATGGGCTGCTGTGGGTTGCCATGGGCTGCCGTGGGTTGCCATGGGCTGCCATGGCCAGCCAGGCCCGTGGGTTGCCATGGATTGCCATGGGCTGCCGTGGGTTGCCATGGGCTGCCATGGCCAGCCAGGCCCGCAGCTGCCATGAGTTGCCATGGGCTGCCGTGGGCTGCCATGGGCTGCCATGGCCAGCCAGGCCCGCGGCTGCCATGAGTTGCCATGGGCTGCCGTGGGTTGCCGTGGGCTGCCATGGCCAGCCAGGCCCGTGGGTTGCCATGGATTGCCATGGGTTGCCATGGGCTGCCGTGGGCTGCCATGGCCAGCCAGGCCCGTGGGTTGCCATGAGTTGCCATGGATTGCCATGGGCTGCCATGGCCAGCCAGGCCCGCGGCTGCTGCGCCGCGGCGCCCTGACAGCCCCGTGCTGTGCTGGGCCCTGCAGAACGACTCGGTGGTGGCGGGCGGCGGGGCCATCGAGATGGAGCTCTCCAAGTTCCTGCGGGACTACTCGCGCACCATCCCGGGCAAGCAGCAGCTGCTGATCGGCGCCTACGCCAAGGCCCTGGAGATCATCCCCCGGCAGCTCTGCGACAACGCCGGCTTCGACGCCACCAACATCCTCAACAAGCTGCGCGCCAAGCACGCCCAGGTAGGGCAGGGATCCTGTGGAGAGGCCAGCTGTGTGCTGAGGAAGGCAGGAGCCTCCCCTGAGATGGGAAATTATTATGATTCGGAGAATTATTGTAGTCTTGGAATTAGGGGGCTGTCAGGCAAAGATGTGGGAATAGGAATACCAGTTCTTTACTAGGAAAATTGAAAATACCTATGCAATAGTACAAACAAACCAGTGCCAGAGTCAGAGCAGCCCTGTCCCCTGTGGGTCAGGGAGTGGCTCAGCCCCATCCCAGGGGGGCTCAGCCCTCCTGCAGTGCCAGCTGTGCTTCTGCTGGAGCAGGATCTGCACAAGGGGGGAGTTTTCCTCTGGAGCTCCAGGGCTGGGGGAGATGGGCCTGGGCTCCTCTGGGAATGCAGGGGAAGAAAGCTGCTCCTCTGGGAATGCAGGGGAAGAAAGCTGCTCCTCTGGGAATGCAGGGGGAAGAAAGCTGCTCCTCTGGGAATGCAGGGGGAAGGAAGCTGCTCCTCTGGGAATGCAGGGGGCACAGGCTGCTGTGGGGTTCGCAGGTCAGATTGGATCCAAGTAGGAATGCTGGGCTCCTCCCCTGGGCAGAGCATCTCCCCATGGATGATGGAATTTTCTCAGCCGTGCAGGGACACTCAGTGGCCATGAACAGGAGATAATTAATAATTAATGGCCCATGGACAGAGGAGATCTCCTGGAGGCAGGATGGGCTGTGGCAGAGATAAATAAAACTGCCCAGTGAACAGATACCTGCCCCATCTCTGGCAGCTGGAATAGAATACACACCCCAGGTACATCTTTCAGCCTCAGACACCGGGCATCCCAGAGGATGTGTGTGATTGCTCTCTCCCTCCTGGAGCCTGTCAGAGCTCAGCCCAGCCCTGTTGGAGCCGTGTCCCCTTTGATTAAACGCCCTGTTCGTTTCACATCAGCTGTGGGCCTGGCACAGGTTGCTATAAATGGAAAGGAGATGTTTTCCCTTTGATCCCAGCCGTTGGGTGACTTCCTGAGCTGGGAGTTCTGATTTGCTCCTTAAAAACACATCATTTCTCAGGAAGGAGCTGCTGTGTTAAACATTAGCAAAGCAGAGTGCAGGAGTCAGCTGAGCTGAGCATTTTGCCCAGGAGCTGCAGGCTGGAGGTCCTGAGTGCTGGTCTTGTGGAGATCACAGCTCCAGGGCTGGGAGGTTGCCCCTCGGGGTCTGTCACTCCCAGCACGTTTCACCCTGCTGCTCTGGTGGTGGGGCTGGGGGGAGTGCCCCAAATGAGCAGTGGGGCAGCAGCAGAGGGGAGCCAGGCTTGGGAGGCCTCTGCAGCTTCATGGAAGGGGCTGCCCAGGGAGGTTTGGAGTCTCCATCCCTGGAGGTGCCCAGGGAAGGGCTGGAGATGGCACTCAGAGCTCTGGGCTGGTTTACAAGGGGGGTATGGGGCCCAGCTGGGACTGGATAGTCTGGGAGGGCTTTTCCTCCTTGGTGACTCTGTGATCCTAATCTGGAAGGAGCCTCCCCTTCATGAGGCACTGCTGGCACTGGTGGCTGAAAGCCACCAGTTTGGACTACTCAGTTTGGATTTTCTGTGTTTCCTTTAACAGCAGAATGTGGGGGAGGCTCCAGCCTTTCCCTTCACCTTGCCTGGCCTTCCCTCCCAGGCTTTCCCCAAGTCCCACACAGCCCCTGACCAGTCCCTGTCCCCTTTGTCCCCTCTGTCCTCACAGGGTAGGATGGGGCACTGATCCCTTTGCCTCTGTCCCCAGAGCAGGATGGGGCACTGATCCTGTCCCTGTGTCCCTCAGGGTGGGATGTGGCACTGATCCTGTCCCTGTGTCCCTCTGTCCCTCAGGGCAGGATGTGGCACTGATCCTGTCCCTTTGTCCCCGTGTCCCTCTGTCCCCAGAGCAGGATGTGGCACTGATCCTGTCCCTCTGTCCCTCTGTCCCTCAGGGCAGGACGTGGCACTGATCCTGTCCCTCTGTCCCCGTGTCCCTCTGTCCCTCAGGGCGGGATGTGGCACTGATCCTGTCCCTGTGTCCCCGTGTCCCTCTGTCCCTCAGGGCGGGATGTGGTATGGCGTGGACGTGACCAACGAGGACATAGCTGACAATTTCTCGGCCTGCGTGTGGGAGCCGGCCGTGGTGCGCATCAACGCGCTGACGGCCGCCTCGGAGGCCGCGTGCCTCATCGTGTCCGTGGACGAGACCATCCGCAACCCCCGCTCCACCGTGGACGCCGGCGCCGCTCCCCGCGGCCGCGGCCGGGCCCGGCCCCACAACCACTGAGCGACGGTGACGCCGCCATGGCGGCTGCTCCGTCCCCTTCCCCGCGCTCGGCAGCCCGGGCGGGCCGCGGGCACGGCAGCTCCTGCCCTGGCAGCTCCTGCCCCGGCAGCTCCTGCCCCGGCAGCTCCTGCCCCGGCAGCTCCTGCCCTGGCAGCTCCTGCCCCGGCAGCTCCTGCCCTGGCAGCTCCTGCCCCGGCAGCTCCTGCCCTGGCAGCTCCTGCCCCGGCAGCTCCTGCCCTGGAACTGCCCTGCCCTGCCCTGTGCTGCCTTCCTGGCCTGGGCATTCTCTCCCTGGGAGTTTTCCCTCCTGAGGAGCCTTCCCTCCCTTGGGAGCCTTCCCTCCTCAGGAGCCTTCCCTCCTTAGGAGTGTTCTCTCCTCAGGAGTGTTCCCTCCTCAGGAGTGTTCCCTCCTCAGGAGCGTTCCCTCCTCAGGAGTGTTCTCTCCTCAGGAGTGTTTCCTCCTCCAGACCCTTCCCTCCTCAGGAGCCTTCCCTCCTCAGGAGCGTTCCCTCCTCAGGAGTGTTTCCTCCTCCAGACCCTTCCCTCCTCAGGAGCCTTCCCTCCTCAGGAGCATTGTCTCCTCAGGATTGTTTCTTCCTCCAGACCCTTCCCTCCTCAGGAGCCTCCCCTCCCTGGGGGTGTTTCCTCCTCCAGACCGTTCCCTCCTCCAGTGCAGGGAGGTCTTTGGGGCCTATTTATACTGGTTTGTGTTTTGTTCTGCTGGTCAGTTTGAAGCCAGGCTCCAGCACAATAAAACCAGTTTGTCTCAGTGGCAGATTGGGCTTGTCCTCTGTTCTCTGCTTCATTCTGCACGGGGAGGCCTCAGGCCTGGGGTTAAAAATGAGCTTTTCAGGCTGGTTTTTGGCCCGTTTCAAAGCAGGTGCTGTGCTGCAGAGCAGGGCAGGCTCCAGGCACGTGCCAGGAGTGCTGCTAGGATGGAGCACCTCTGTGTGTGCTTCATCTCTTGGGTATTGCTCAGTGACATTTTAATTGGCTTCTGCTCAAAGGGGCATTTTCATTTTCCATTTTGCTTCATGGAAGGAGGTTCAGGGCAGCAGCTGCCTGACAGCTCCAAGGGGCTCCAAGGATGGATCCAGGCATTTGGGGGGACTCAGAGGGGAAAATGGTGCTGGGACAAAGTGGGGAGACTTGGGTCTGGTGGGTTACAAGTGAGGAAGAGGACAGCGAAAGAAATAGAGAATCGTGGGATGGTTTGGGTTAGAAGGGACCATAAAGGTCATCCAGGGACACCTTCCACTGTCCCAGGGTGCTCCCACCCCATCCAACCTGGCCTTGGACCCTTCAGGAACCCAGGGGCAGCCACAGCTCCTCTGGGCACCCTGTGCCAGGGGTGCTCCCCCCATGCTGCCTCGCTTGGTCCCTGTATCCCCCTTTGTCCCCGTGCCCCGTGATGCCAGAGCAGTGGAGCCCGCGGGTCTGCAGAGGGGGTCAGCACACTTCCAGCAGGCCCCGAACAGCAACTGGTCTCACTGGTGTGTGCCCCCCAGGAGAGTGAACGCCCAGCTCGATCTCCAGAGTCTTTATTCAACACTGAATCATAAAATAGCTCTTTACACGCTTCGCTGGGGGTCGTTTCTCTGTAATTCTTTAAATACACATGGTTTACACTTGCCAAAGTTTCAAAGCAACAACATCAAAGTGCGTCTACAGGTGAGAGTTCCAACCAAAGTGCTGAACCCGTGGCTGCCGGCCGGAGCTGGGGCGGCTGCCCCGAGCCCGGCTGCTGCCCTGCCCATCGCGGCGCTCCCCCGGGAGCTGCTCCGGCAGCTCTCGCACCAAGGCCCGGTTTAGCATCCAGGGACCACGGGCTGGGGGCAGAAAGGGACGTTTGGTTCTCCAGACACTGGCACATCGCTGCAAAAGACTAAAATAGACCTAGATTTATAGAGAGTTAAAAAAATAACTTGGGAGGCCACGGGAACCTTGGGGGAGGGGAGGTCGCTGTACACCGCTGCCAGCCAGGGCTGTCGGGAATGATTCCAGTTCCTGATTTATATATCTCTTCTCTGCACTGATTATCTCCTCTGATTATCTCGAAGCAACTGTGCATTACCTCTTTGCATCCCAAAAACTGCCATGCGCCATTGCACCCACTTGTCCCCGGCCCCAACCTGCCTCGTTGCCCTCCACGGGGCTCAATCCCGAGGCTGCATTAGAAAATCCCTTTTTTCCCTTGCTTTTGGGCAGTTTTCCCTCCTTGCTGCTGCAGCAGCTTTTCCTCAGTGCTCTCCCACCCTCCCCAGGGATTATTTTGCCTCCCACTGATGGGGAAGGTCCATCAGCACCTACAACACCCTGCAATGCTTCAGTCGCAACAAACCACCTCTGCTTCCCAAAATCTCCCTGCTCCCTGGGATCTTTACCTTTTCAAGCACTTTCTCATTTGGCACCAATTCCCAAATGCTTTTGCTGCACCCAAACCTGCTGTTTCTCACCCCAAAATGAGGCTGAAGCAGTGCTCCAGCTCCTGGGCTGGGGCCTCCCCTAAAAGCTGAAGGAAAACATCTGTTAACCAGTTTAGGAGCCATTACCAACACTTCTGGGTTGGTTTTTGTTCTGTTTTCCCTAAATCAGCTCTTTTTGAGACAAGCCCCTGCCATGGCTGTGCCCTTGGTGGCAGCAGGGACCAGGACACACGGCAAGAGGAGGGACAGAGGTTTAAAATCCTCGCGGGGCAGAGCCAGCCTGGAGCTCCCTTTTCTTTCCCTCAGTCCCTGACACCTGGAGCCCCAAGGCAGAGGGACAAGGCAGGAGGAGGCCCCTGATCCCCAGAGCTCCTGGGGCTTGGAGTGATGGGAACGAGGGAAATCCAACACGAGGGAGACACAAGCAGGATTTGGGATGGCTTTGGCCCCCGAGCTGCCTTTGGTGATGTTCCTCTCGGAATCCCTGACCAGCGCCCAAACTCGGGTGAAGGGGAATGCTGGCAGTGTCGGCCATGGGAAACTTTGGGAAAACGCCTCAGAAAAGGAATAAATCCCCAGAAGCAGCCCTGCAGGAGCCAGGCTCGGAAGCACCGTCCATCCCGCCCTGCCAGCTCTGGCCATCGCTGTGACCCCAGTCCTCTCCCGGATCCGTGGATTTTTCTGGGATTGTCATCGCAGAGCCCCTCTGGCACTTCTCGAGCTGAGCTGAACGTGCTGTGTGGTTTGAAGGCTTTCCCAGGAAATTCGGCATTTCTGGGCGTTCCCATCACTCCGGAGGAAATGGGGCTGAGGCTCCGTGAGCCAGGGACAGCCTGGCCGGAGCTCCCGCGGGGATGGATCCTTGTGGGGCCACACTCCTGCGGGACAGGGCAGAGAAAGCAGCAGGGGCAGGATCCCTCTGACATTTCAGAGCTCTTAATGAGCTCGTTAACAAGCTGGGCAATTAGGAGCCACCAGGAGGGCCCTCCTTCCCAGCACTCCTGTCGCTGTGCCAGCTGCCTTCATCCCCAGCTGAGGAGGAGGAGGATGAGGAAAGGATCCATTCAAGCCCAAGCCAAACAGGGAGAAACCCCCACTTTCCATCTTCTGATCCTTGAACCTGCTCAAGGTCTTGTGTCATCCGAGGATTTTTGTAAAAAGTGGCTTTGCTGAGCTGGGATTTTCGGGAATGCCCCAAGGAGAGGTGACAGTTTGATCTGGTCCTGGGGATGCACCAAAGCTCGAGTCCAGGTGAGGGTCCTGCCGTGACTTCCAAAGGCCCGGGGGCAGCGCAGGGGTGGGGATGTCACAGAGTCACCAACGCCACCACGCACGCAGCGCTGACCCCTCAGAGGCCTCACAGCTCCCCCCTTTCCATCACCTCATCCTCACCCTCCCCAGGCGAGGAGCCGGAGAGCTCCGGGCACGGCGCACCCGGAGCAGCCACCTCCAGCCCGGGCCACCGCTCTGGGCCACCAGAGTCTTAAAGCATAGAGTGTAGAAACATGCTGAGTATATAATTTTCCTTTAAAATCTTTTTTTTCTTTTTCCTTCTTCTGTTTATAGAAATAAATAGGTACTTTGTTTGGTTTTTGTTGTAAAGGGAATTCCGCAGGTGGCACCGGGGTGGTGCCATCTCCGCCGGGCCACGCTCCTGCGCGGGGCCGGACGGTGCCCGGGCACCCGGCAGCTCTGCTGGGCGGCGGTTTGCTGGTGGGGGCATCCCTTGCTGCTCTTGCCCCTGGACTGGGAGTGTGCCAGGCTGCTCGGGGCGGAGGTAAACCCACGGTGGGCATGGCAGGGAGCATCCGTGGGGGTGCAGGAGTTTCTGGCAGGCATTTTCATTTTCATTTTGTGCATTCAGGGCCAGCCTTCTCCTGGAAAGCTGCATGGGAGGGGGAGCAGGGGGAGCAGGGGGAGCAGGGCTGCTTCCCACGGGGGCTGTGGCCACAAAACCCTGCCCCTGTTTCACAGGCAGCGCAGGTGGGATGAAGGGTTGTGAAGGGTCTCCAGTGGGGCTGGAGGTGCGGGAGCTGCCTCCAGAGCCGTGCCAGCCTCGGCCGTTTGGGGTGATTTTCCTTGTTCCGGGGGTCCCCCACGGGCTGTGTGCAGCCCCAGCGGGGCAGCAGCTCCTGTGCCGTGGGTGAGGGACGTGGTGCTGCATCTGGGACGTGGTGCTGGATCTGCAGCCCGGTCCCGCCCGGGGTGCTCCACGTGAGCCCATCGCTCCCGCAGGGCTGGGGGGACGGGCTCTGCGAGGTGTCCCCTCACAGCCACGCCAGCCAGGGGCACCAAAACCTCCAGTGCTGGGCCAGAGAAAAGGGAAAACCCCAAATCCACTTTCCCAGCCGCTTCCTCTCCGCTCAGCCCCGTCCAAGGGCTCCGAGGACATGGGGCTGGGGCTGTGGGTGAGGCTGGGCTGTCCCCACTGCTGGCAGTGCTCTGATGGGTGTCCCCAGTCCCTGCTACCTTCTCCCCAGGCTGCAGGATGGAGATGCTTGCCCCTGATGGATGCCTTTCCAAAGCCTTTTCCCATTGCAAAAGGATATTTTGGGGATGATGATGTCCTTGCAGGCTGAGGACACTCAGAAGAAAAATCAGATTTAGAAAATGGTGGCTGTAGATAAGGGTCAGCTGGGGCTGTTCGTTGGTGCTTTTTCCAGGATAATTTCAGGACAATCTGGCCAGGGTTTCTCCTTCAGGCTGCTCGGGAAGGCAAACATGGGTGTCCCATGACAGTCTCTCTCTCCACACGGGACATCTGACCCCGGACGGAGTCCGGCTGTGGATGGTGGGGACAGGATGGTGACCCATTTCCTGGTGGGTGAGGATTTTGCAGGTGGTTTATTGCCTTGGCAGGAGGGTTTTGGTGGAGAGGGAGTGAGGCTGGAGACCTCTGGGAGAGCGCCCACCTCTCCTGTGTCCTCTGGCTCCCAGAGCCCCGAGTGCAGCTCTGCTCCTTGTGCTGTGGTGCTGCTGGTTTCTGGGACATTGCCCGGGTTTGGGTGCCCCTCTGCCACATCCCAAATACAAAGGAGCAGAAACCCCGTGGGAATGGTGGGGGAGGAGCAGCCCCTCCCCACGCCCCAGGCAGGCCGGGGCTGCGGGGTGAGCCCAGCCAAGAGCCCCGAGATGGGCTGAGCCATCCTCCAGCGCTCAGAGACCCCACAGAGAGTTCAGTGGGACCCCAAACGCATCCTTGGCCTTCAAAGCCGTCTTCCCTCCTGGGAAAGAGCTCCTGGCTCTCGGGGCAGCCCCAAATTGTCCGTGAGTAGCACCTTCTCGCCCCGAGGGTCCGCGAGGGTCCGGGGCTCCAGCCGGGGGTCCCCGCCCCGGGCTGGGCCCGCGGCTGCGCCGGCAGAGCAGGATGTGCTGCGGGGTCCCTGGGGGGCTAGCAGCCTCCTTCCACCTTGATGTGCAGGATCTTGGAGAAGCCGGGTCTTTTCCTCAGGGCCTGCAAGAGGAGCAGACACGGGGCTGGGGGGAGCCAGGTGCCACTGCTGCGTGGGGAGGGGGGAATGCCCCAGATCCTGGTATGGGGTCAGAGAGGGAGAAGGGGAATGCCCCAAATCCTGGTATGGGGTCAGAGAGGGAGAAGGGGAATGCCCCAAATCCTGGTATGGGGTCAGAGAGGGAGAGGGGGAATGCCCCAAATGAGGAAGGAAAGGGGGAATGCCCCAAATCCTGGTATGGGGTCACAGAGACAAAGGGGGAATGCCCCAAATCCTGGTATGGGGTCAGAGAGGGAGAGGGGGAATGCCCCAAATCCTGCCAGGGCTGAGGGAGGGAAAGGGGGAACACCTCAAATCCCATGGAAAGGACATGGGGGGAGGGAGGCACAGGGAATGGGAAACACAAAGCACACCTCATATCCCTGCCTTGGGAAGGGAGGAAGAAAGGGAACACCTCAAATCCCTGCCTCGGGATGAGGAAGGGAGAAGGGAATCTGCCAGGGCACGGGAAGGATGGGGGGATAGTTCCAATCCCTGCCCCAGGGAAGACATGGGGTGAGGAAGGGAGAGGGGGAGCAGCATCCCCAGTCCCTGCCTGGGGAAGGAAGGAGGGAAGGGAGGGAGAGGGGACACTTCTGACCCGTGCCACGGCAAGGACACAGGGCTGGGGGCACTCGTGTGAGCTGGCGCCGGGCGCCTTCACCTGCAGTTTGTTCACCATTTCTTCAAACATCTTCCTGGCCTCGGGGCTGTGGGGCTCCTTGAAGTAGTCCACAATGCCCACCTGCACCACGATGGACTTCAGGTTCCGGCACACACCTGGGGGCACAGACAGCACCTGGGGACAGCTCCCATGGCCACCAGGGACCCCAGAGCCCACCCCGCGCCCCTCAAGGCCCCTCTCACCCTGGGGATGAGGAGGCCCGGCCGGGGTCTCTGCAGGGAGGAGCACGGGCTGTGACACAGCCCTGGCTGCCGTCCCAACCCGGTGTCCTCCCGCTGCCCTGGGGACCCTGCCAGCCACGGGGTGGGCTGCCAGCAGCTCCAGCACGGTCACCCGAGCCGTGAGCACCAGGACAGGTCCTCCTGGGGCTGTGCACCTCCTGCCCTGGCCACGGGCTCCAGTGAGGGCGTGAGCCAGGCTCAGGGGTGCCATAGCCCTCAGGGGTGCCACAGCCCTCAGGGGTGCCACACACCGAGGCCTCCATCTCCCCAGGGACCGTGCAGGCAGCGTCCCGTCCTCCCTGCGGCCCGAGGCAAGATCAGCTCCTTGGCCCATCCCTGGTGGGGGACGTGGGATCCCCGTTCCCCGAGAGCCCCCAGCAGCTCCCAGTGCCGGCAGCCCCGCGGCTGGGGCTGGCAGGGCGCCGTGCCCCGTGGGTCTGGGTGCCAGGCCCCCGCCCTGGCACTGCTACTCACTGTTGAAGTGCAGCAGGGCTTTGGGGGTCACCGGGGTGGACGTCAGCACCAGCATCTCCAGCCCCTTGAGCCCCTCCCGGCACACCTCAGCAGCCACCTCCTGGTTGACCTCGGCCATGTGGTCCAGCTCCAGCACCTGCAGCCTCATGCAGTTCCGGGCTGCGGGGACAGAGCCGTCGGCGCCCCGGGAAGGGACCGGCAGAGCCCAGGGGTGCTCGGGGAGCTCGGGGGGGTGGGGTTCCCCACGGAGATCCCAGGAGCATCGCCCTGCCCACAGCAGGGCCTCTCCTTGTCCCACCCCCCGGGGAGGGTGGGGGTCCCCACCCCTGGAGGCGTCCAGGGAATGCCTGGAGGTGGCACTCGGTGTCCCCGGGCTGGTGACACGGGGGGATTTAGCACACGGTGGGCTTGGCAGTCCCAGAGACCTTTTCCATGCCCACTGACCCCTCCTGTGACCCGTGATCCCAAATGCTGGGCTGGGACAAGGTGGGCACAGGGTGGGTTGGTGGCCCCAGGGATCCTTCCCAAGCCCAGTGACCCATTCAGTGATCGTGTGATCCCGAGTGCTGGGCTGGTGACACAGTGGGCACAGGGCACAGGGTGGTTCAGTGGCCCCAGGGACCCTTCCCAAGCCCAGTGACCCGTTCAGTGATCCGTGATCCCGAGTGCTGGCCTGGTGACACAGTGGGCACTGGGCACAGGGTGGTTCAGTGGCCCCAGGGACCCCTCCCAAGGCCAGGGCACGCTGTGTGGGCCGGGCAGTGCCTACCTAGCGAGGCCAGGCCCTGCACGCCGCAGCCGGCGCCCCCGACGCCGAGCGCCCGCAGGTGGGGCCAGCAGCGCCCGATCATCTGCAGGCAGCGGTTGCTGAAGCGCGTCGGCTGCTGGCTGGGGACACGAGGGACAAGGCTGGGCTGGCACGGCGCTCAGCGCCCTGGCACCCCGGGACGGGAGCGCCGGGAGCTCTCCCACTCTCCCACCCACCAGCCCCGGCTCACCCTGCGGTGCCCCGCGCGGGCACTGCCCCGGCTGTGCTGCCACTGGGACGGGGCAGCTCCGTGCCCAGTGCCCCAAAGCGTGCCCAGAGCAGCTGGGGCTGCCCCGGATCCCTGGCAGCGCCCGGGCCAGGCTGGACACTAGGTTTGGAGCAGCCTGGCACAGGGGGAGGGGTCCCTGCCACGGCAGGGTGGCACTGGGTGGGCTGGAGGGTCCCGCCCCACCCAAACCATCCTGTTGCAGCCTTACCAGGGATGCAGAGGTGCGACCTGCAGGGAGATGATGTCCCTGCAGCCTGCTCCGAGCGCCCAGATCACCTCATGGCCCACAGGGTCTGTGGAGCTCCTGCAACAACACACGGGACACGCCATGGCACGGCAGCAGCGGTGCCACCCTGGGCTGGGTCTGCACCCCCCAGAGGTGCCAGCGTGGGCATGGTTTGCAGCCCAGCGGGGCCCTGGGCTCCAGCACGGGGCATTCCCACCTGGAATGGTGCCTGTGGATGGAACAGCAGCAGGGACAGCAGCTGGGGCCAGGGGCAAAGAGGGGCAGGAGGAGAGGCTGAACGTGGAAGGTTCTGGGGATGAAGAGGGGCAGGAGGGATGAAGGTTCTGGACAGTTCTGGGGGTGAAGAGGGGCAGGAGGAGAGGCTGGACGTGGAAGGTTCTGGGGGTGAAGAGGGGCAGGAGGGATGAAGGTGGCATTGAACGTGGAAGGTTCTGGAGGTGCCTCCTCACGTGCCAAGGTGACAAGTGACTGGCTGAAGCTGCCAGGCCGTGAGTCCCTGCAGGGGACAGAAGCTGTCCCTGTCCCTCACTGCCTTGGTGTCCCTCAGCACCCACCTGGCCGGGATGGGGACAGTGGCAGGGGTGGAAGGACACCCCAGCCAGGGGCCGGGGCTGCTCCGTGGCCTCTCCCTGCTCTGTGGCTGTGCCCCCGTGGCTGCAGGTGGCTCTTGGCCACACGTCCCTGCAGGGTTTGCTGTGGCTCCTCCTTGGTGTCCTGGGAGGTACCGGGAAGGCCCCTGGGACGCTGCTGGAGCCGGGCAGGGACGGGGCAGCTGTGGCTTTGTCCTGAGCTGGGGTGGAGCCCAGCCCCAGGGAGAGGTGCCAGCGGGCACCAGCCCGATGCCACCAGCCCAAACGGTCCCCAGGCTGTGCCACCCCACCAGGAGCCTTCCAGGGACCGAGGCCACGCTTCCCAAGTCTGAATGTCCCACCTCAGAACCTCAGGCTAGCCCAAAAAGAAGGCTGGGTGCTATCTGAGTGCCTCACACATGTGCTGGAGCAGGTGCCAAGAGCAGCAGGTTAATCAGAGCGTGAGTGCCCGGCACAGCTCAGGATGTGCCAGGGGCGCTCGGGCTCGCTCTGCTGCCCTCGGAAGAGCCCAAGGAGCAGCCCTGGAGGTCAGGCTGGCAGCTCTGGGCTGTCTCCTGTCCCGTGGCGTGGGTCAGAGCCGGCTCTGAGCTCCTGGGGGTCACACCAGGGCACCGAATGTGCTTTCCCACCTGGAGGATTCTCTGTCCTGGCTGGATGAGGACCAGGTGGAGCAGACACCGAGGCTGAGGAGGTTGTCTGCAGGTGCAGCAGAGCAAGGATCATCCTCCTGGAGGCTGGAGGGAAGGCCAATCCTGTCTCCACAGGTGGCCAAAACCAAGGAGTGGGCAGTGATGCCCTCCAGGACCTGTGACCTCCTCCAGGATCATGAGTCTTGTGTCTGTGACCTCAGGCAAGGTGTCCAAGCTGAATCTCAGCTGTCCCTTGGCAGAGCTGCTCCTCCCTCCCAGGAGTGAGCCCCTGAGCCTCTTGTCTCCACTAGGACCATTCATGGGGGTGACAGCCAGCTGGGACCTCACTGGGCACCTCCTCCTCGCCCCTCTCTACCAGAGCGCTGCCTCCTTGGCACAACCCCGCTCATGCTCCAGCCGGGATGAGACCAGCACTGGATGATGGGGATGGAGCTGGAAGTGCAACACCTGCATGGGAACATCCTGGCAGGGACAGGAGCTGCAGGGACAGGAGCTGCAGGGACAGAGGGACAGCTGGCACAGGGGACACCGGGCTGCAGCTGGGGCGGGTGGGCTGGGCTGTGCCAGGGAATGGGTGAGCTCGGCACAGCCCGGGGGCACTGCCAGGGATCGGAGTGAGCTCGGCACAGCCCGGGGGCACTGCAGGGTGAGCTCAGCACAGCCCGGGGGCACTGCAGGGTGAGCTCGGCACAGCCCGGGGGCACTGCAGGGTGAGCTCGGCACAGCCCGGGGGCACTGCCAGGGAATGGGTGAGCTCAGCATAGCCCGGGGGCACTGCAGGGTGAGCTCGGCACAGCCCGGGGGCACTGCAGGGTGAGCTCGGCACAGCCCGGGGGCACTGCCAGGGATCAGGGTGAGCTCAGCACAGCCCGGGGGCACTGCCAGGGAATGGGTGAGCTCGGCACAGCCCGAGGGCACTGCGGGGTGAGCTCGGCACAGCCCGGGGCACTGCAGGGTGAGCTCGGCACAGCCCGGGGCACTGCCAGGGATCGGAGTGAGCTCAGCATAGCCCGGGGGCACTGTGGGGTGAGCTCGGCACAGCCCGGGGGCACTGCCAGGGATCGGGGTGAGCTCGGCACAGCCCGGGGCACTGCCAGGGATCGGGGTGAGCTCAGCACAGCCTGGGGGCACTGCCAGGGATCGGGGTGAGCTCAGCACAGGCGGGGGGCACTGCCAGCCTGTCCCCACGCCGCGGTGGCCGTGCTTACCGGTAGGTGACAGCCTGCAGGGCCCGGCAGTAGCAGCTGGCCAGCCAGAGCGAGCGGTCGGTCAGCACGTTGGGGCAGTGCGAGATGCGCAGGATCAGCAGGTTGCTGCCCGTCGCCTTCAGCAGGGACTCCAGCCCCGCTTCCAGGCAGCCCCTGCCAGCAGGGAGCCAGGCTCAGGCACGGCGGCCCGTGCTCACCCTCCTGCACCCGCCCAGCAGGGTGACACGTCCCACCAGGACACCCAAACCCCACAGGGGCCGGTGTGCCCCGGAGTCCGTAATGGAAACGGGAGCTGGGGCTCAGGGAGCTGCAGCGGCTCCGGCGGTGGGACGGGGACACGGGGGCAGAGGGACACGGGCACTCACCGTGTGCTCTTCATGTAATCCTCCTTGCTCTCCTTCTTGCCCCGCTGGCGCGGCTTCAGGTTTTGGAGGGTGAGGGAATGCATCTGGGTGCACCACTGGGACAGCATGGCCAGGAACTGGGGCACAGGGGGGCACTCACTGGCAGGGCCACCCCAGCACGTCCCGCACCACCCACCCCTGGCTGGGCACACACGCGGCACAAATGGGTGGGGAGGCACACACAGGCCATGGCAGAGCATGTGCCACAAAACCACGGGCGTGACCACAAAACCATGGGCATGACCACAAAACCATGGGCGTGACCACAAAACCATGGGCGTGACCACAAAACCATGGGCATGACCACAAATTCATGGCCATGACCACAAATTCATGGCCATGACCACAAAACCATGGCTGTGACCACAAATTCACGGGCATGACCACAAAACCATGGGCGTGACCACAAAACCATGGGCGTGACCACACAAGCACATGGAAACCTGTGCCGGCGTGAGCTCCTGTCCTCCAGCATTCACCTGTGCACCTGCAACACCTCTGGCACCGGAGCAAGTGCCCAGCTCCGCAGCAAGTGCCCACCTGTGTCCCCCAGGAGACCCACCCCGGCCGCAGGAGAGGCGAGGCTCCCCCAGCTCTGCCCTTCTGGAAGAGGGGCCGCGCCCCAGGCGGAGCCGCCGCTCCCCGGTACCTTGGAGGAGACCCGGGCGTTCTCCAGCAGCACCCGCGTCCACACGGCCGGGTGCCGGGCCACGAACTTCCAGTCCTTGCACACCTCGGCCGCGCGCAGCAGCGTCCTGGTGTCCAGGTAGGTGAAGATGCAGAAGAGAGCCGCCCGCATCTTGAGGATCTCGGGGCTGATGACCTCGCCGCAGTGGCCCGGGCTGCCCCGCTCCAGCCGGCACGCCTTGCCCCCGGCGCCCTCGGGCCTGGCCGCGGGACACCCGGCGTCGGTGGCCACTGGTGCGCGGGAGAACGGCGGTAAGGGAACGAGGGAAGCTCCGTCCCCGGCCCGCGGCCTCCAGCTGCCCCGGCCCGCGGCGCCCTCACCGGTCAGGCGGCAGCTGCCGGGGGCTCGGGGCGCGGCGCAGCCCGGCCCCTCCGGCTCCCAGCCCTCGGCCTCCGACTCGGTGGTGCGGGAGCCCACGTCGGACACGTCGCCCTCCTCGCCCTCGGTGCTGTTGCGGTAGGGCCGGCGGTGCCAGTTCTGGATGGCCTGGCGGCGCAGCCCCGAGCCCCGCGCGTCCCGCGCCGCGCGCGGCGGCGCCTCGGCCGCGTCGTCCGTGGGACACGGCTCCGCGCTGTCGCTGTCGTAGCAGCCCGAGCTCTGCGACACGGCCTTGGCCCGGCTCGAGGCCCTGGGGACGGGGACGTGCCGGCTCAGGGCTCGCATCCCCGTCCCGGCATCCCGCAAGGCGCCGGCGGGGCGGCGGGCCGGGCACTCACCCGGTGCTGGACGAGGAGCGCTGGTTGCACGCGCCGTAGGGACCGTGCACGGCCGGCCCCGGCCCCGGGTGCCGCTCTCTCTGCGGGGACAGGGGACGAGAGGAGCCGCCGTGGCACACCCGAGGCACTGGGGCACGGCACCCCGCTCCCCACCGGTGCCCGCTGCGCTTGGGGGGACACCCTCCCCCGCGGGACGCGGAGCGGCACTCCAGCGTCACCGGCCCACGGAGAAACAGCTTCTCCTCGGGACCCCGCCCGGGATCACCCATTCCCCGGGGGAAGGAGAGGGGGACCCCGCACCGCTCCGCTCGGGCCCGGGCAGAGGAGAGCCGGGGCCGCACTCCCGAAGACCCGGGATACTCCCGGAGCAGAGGGAGAATTCCCGACACCCCGGGCGCGCTCCGAAGCGCCGTGGGCACTCCCGGAGCAGAGGGAGAATTCCCAGAGCCCAGGATGAATTCCCGGGGCAGGGGGTCCATTCCCGGAGCCCAGGATGAATTCCCGGGGCAGAGGGTGCATTCCCGGAGCCCAGGATGAATTCCCGGAGCAGAACGTGCATTCCCGGAGCCCAGGATGAATTCCCGGAGCAGAACGTGCATTCCCGGAGC